GTTGAGTTAAGAGCGTGTGTTATGTTTTCTCTCCCGTTGCAACGCACGGGCTCTTTTGCTAGTATATTCTAATGGGATTCGTTTTCAAATTTGGAGATCAGTACCTGAGATCTCCAGATAAGAATGATATTGATTAAAAAATTGAAGGTATGATACTGATTATTTGTGATTATTGAAAAAAGGGACATGTGGGAGAGAGAGGAGCAAAAAGAAAGAGATCTTAGCGCTAAAGCCCACCCTCGCGATACTATCTCCTCCCGTTGCCAGGACCGGCCTTCCTCCCACCTTTGCCCTCGTCGCTGCCATAGGGCGCGGCCAGGCGAAGCCTGACCAGCAACAGCAGCGGGGAGTTCTCCTCTCGCGCGACAGTACGGTGTTGGCCGATCCTCTCGAGTCGAGACGAGGGGCTGGCGAGGGGCTCTGTGGCGTGGCGGCTCTCGGGCAGGTCCTTGGCGCGCGGGGGAGCAATGGCGTGTGGAGCTGGCATGTGGAGCTTCGTGTTGGGTGGAGCGCGCCTGGGCCATGGCGGTTGGATCGGCGGCGCAGGCTGTAGGATGTTGTGATGGGTCGCGGCAGTGGTGGCCTACAACAGCGGTAGCTCCCTGCTACTCGTGTGGCAGTTCTTGGCCACGGAGGGGTGGGGCGAGCTTATAGTAGTTGTGGCGGCGCGGCGGCCAGGGTCCAGCTGGCGGCGTAGGGTGGAGGCAACACCTTCCCTTCTCCTGGATCAGAATCAGCGGCGCGCGGGATTGGGCGAGTACCAGTGGTGCTGGATGCACGCGCGACGACAGATGTTTTGTGATCTAGGGTTTTGATGCGGCTTGAACTATGTCGGTATTTCCCCAAAGAGGAAGGGATGATACAACACAGTTAAGGTAGATATTTCCTTCAGTGATGAGACCAAGGTTATCGAACCAGTAGGAGAACCACGCAACACTATGTAAACGATACCTGCACACAAAGACCAAATACTTGCAACCCGACGTGTAAGAGGGGTTGTCAATCCCTTCGGTAAAAAGATAGATAAATTTGTAGTAGATTGGGTGAATATATCTTGCGGAAACGCGAAATAGAACAAAGTGCAGCAAGGTATTTTTGGGTTTTGGATTAATAGATCTGAAAATAAAAGCGAACAAAAATAGATCTCGGAGGCAAATATGATAAAGAATAGACCCGGGGGCCGTAGATTTCACTAGTGGTTTCTCTCGAGAAAAATAGCATACAGTGGGTAAACAAATTACTGTTGGGCAATTGATACAACCTCAAATAATTATGACGATATCTAGGCAATGAACATTATATAGGCATCACGTCCAAGATTAGTAGACCGACTCCTACCTGCATCTACTACTATCACTCCACACATCGACCGCTATCCAGCATGCATCTAGTGTATTAAGTTCATGGAAAAACGGAGTAATGCAATAAGAACGATGACATTGATGTAGACAAGATCTATTCATGTAGGAATACATCCCATCTTGTTATCCTTAATAGCAATGATACATACGTGTTATGTCCCCTTATGTCACTGGATTGAGCACCGTAAGATCGAACCCATCACAAAGCACCTCTTCCCATGGCAAGAAAAATCGATCTAGTTGGTCTAACTAAACCAAAGATTAGAAAAAGGAATACGAGGCTATAAACAATCATGCATATAAGAGATCAAAACTCAAATAACTTTCATGGATAAAATAGATCTGATCATAAACTTAAAGTTCATCGGATCCCAACAAACACACCGCAAAAAGAGTTACATCAAATAGATCTCTAAGAGACCATTGTATTGAGAATCACAAGAGAGAGAGAGAGAGAGAGAGAAAGGGGGGAAGCCATCTAGCTACTGACTACGGACCTGAAGGTCTACAATGAACTACTCACGCATCAACGGAGAGGCACCAATGAGGATGATGAACCCCACCGTGATGGTGTATAGATTGGATCTGTGGTTTCTAG